GACAGAGAGCGGCTGTGGTTGGTTGTTTCCAGGTGCAGTGGAGCTCCCCTCTTATCTGGTTGGCTGTTTTGCAATGGATCGGATTGGAAGGAAGAAGACGTGTGCCCCATCTCTGCTCCTGGCTGCGGTCGCCTGTTTTCTCATTATTGTGGTACCTGCTGTACGTACAGAGATGCACCCTACCCCCACCCCCACCCCCCACCACCAAAAAAAAGTTCAGCTGTTCACAGAAATCTGCAGTCATCTTTAGGTGCAAGTGTCAGAGTTCAACAGTACCAGCCCAGTGACAAGGCGATAAATCAGACAGTCCAAACTGTACAAGTACATGTACTTTAAGAAACTCTCTCTAACATGTGTTAAGTTCTGAGGCAACTTTGCAATCCTAAACTATACCGCCATGTCTTTTTTGGAGGGAAGAGGCTTCGTCTTGGTAACTCTTACAAATGAGCCATGCTTGTAATCCTGCATCCTAACTGCATGTGGAGCTTTACACATGTGACAGTGATGCTACTGCTTACAAGATAGAATAAATAAAGCATAGAGTTACTTAAAGTACTTGTACTCTAATGAACTCGACTGTTATTGCGATGTATTTTGTGATCACTGACCAGTACTAATGAGATCCGACACTTGAAGCTCCCAACATGTGTTCTGAGCTCTGACCCAAATTAGCACTGTTCATGGATGAGCTGGCAAACAGCTGGTACTTCATTTTTAAATAAATATGACCTTTGATCTTAGGAGCCACGCAAACAGTGAAAGATGGAAAAAAAAATAGCAGCATGGAGACAGGGGACACGTCTAAAGTTCTGCGTCGCAACCCTGCTGACACGGCAGTAGCGACCCTTTTACTCACACCTGTTCATTCCAGCTGTCATGAATCCAGTTGCAGTCTCATTAAGTTCCAGTTTGTTTCCAGCACTTCTTAATAGAAACCACACGATAGCTTGGCTGTATACAGTTTATACACTGCTTTGTAGTCAATGGGAATTAATAATCAAATACATTTCATTTTACATTCAAGCTTATTCTTCACTTAGTTACCATATATTAACATGTATGTTTTTATGGATGTTTTAAGTCAAGGGCATGTTTGACACACAATCAGAACTTGTCAGAGAGTATAATAATAAATTAAATTATAGTGACTGACAGAGCAACACTTATTAAGTTCGTTAAGTCTCTGATGAGCAAGGGCAATCAGGTGTACAAGTACTTAAGTACAAGTACTTACTTGTGCTTTCTTGAGTTTTTAAAAGTAGTATATGCACCTGGAATTTAGTTTTGTTATTTGGTGCTAGGTGTCTAAAGCTAAATTGAATTGAAATCTTTCTCTTTGTTTTTCTTTCTCTCTTCATTTCTACAGGACATAGAGATCCTGACTATTGTTCTGAGTATGATAGGAAAGTTTGCTATTGCGATTGCCTTTGGTCTCATCTACCTCTACACCTGCGAGCTTTACCCGACTATCATCAGGTAAGCACGCTAAAGAGTTTTGTTTTTGTTTTAAGGGTTTGCTAAAAAATTAATTCTAACAGAGGGAGTAATGCTGCTCTTCCTCCAGGTCTTTGGCAGTAGGTAGTGGCAGTATGATGTGCCGTGTCGGCAGTGTGGTGGCCCCTTTCTGTGTCTACCTGGCTGACATCTGGATCTACCTACCTCAGGTATAGAAATGCATTTAATGTTTTAGCTGTCAACTTCCATTTGTTCTCATTTATCATAGTTTATTTCTAAGTTTACCCTGGCAGCACTGCTAAATTAAAAAAATTCCCCCCTTTTTCTCAATCACAACCTGTGTTTAGCTTATTGTAGGAATCCTGGCATTAATTTTTGGAGTACTCGCACTGTTTCTGCCTGAGACCCTTGGCAAACCTCTGACAACCACCTTGGAAGAGGCTGAATCTCTGGGACGTAAGCCCAGCAAGATGAACGACAGACTGGAGCTGAACCAGCATGGAGCAAAAGCTTGAGCCATACACTTCAGGGAACACAGAGATCTAAACACAAGGAGACAAGCTGTGGAAGAGAGACGAGGTGACAACAGTTAAATACCTGGAAACAAAAATGACATAGATTAATAGGATGGTTGGAAAAAAGTGAAAAACAAGAAAAGATAAGTTTTTATGATAACTTGTGAAGTGACTTTTTTGTTAACATTTTGTTCTGTAAAGTGACCAACAGCTTGATATTTTAGGAGGCTTGAGAACTTCCTCACACTCTTCTGCTCTATCATGTAAACATCACAAAACAATGAAAATCATGTGCCATGTGTGGTAATTTGTGAAAGCATACTTTGAGTCTTTTTTGTAGTTTCGATCATAATTTCTATTACTGATTTTAACTTTGTACTTAAAAAAAATGTTCAAAATTTCTTGGAACACAGCTACAAATAAGACAGACAGGACAGACAATAGAAAGACTTTATTTATTTTTAAATCAAATGAAGTTTTTGTAGTTATAGGCAGAACAAAAGCAGATTTTTATGTTAGGTCGTCAGGTGTTTCTTGCCCTGTTGGGCTTCTTTCAAGCAGTGTTTCAGCGGGTATCCTCCTGCTCTTACCACAGTGTTTATATTACCGACAAGAAGTGATGACCAAAACTATTAAAATCAGACTCCAGCTGTACTGAACCAAGTTATCATTTAAAACAAAGTTATCAAAGCTAAACTGCTGCACATTTTTTGACGTCTACGACCATCTGACCAGATCATTGCAGTGCCTTGGTTATTTTATACCATAATAAATCGTATGTCGTGTATCTAGAATGTATTATTCTAATATTAAATAAGTGCCTTCAACTTGCCTTTTAAGGCTTTCTTTTAATCTCAGGACATCAGTTTTGCTGTGAATCTATCACTGGATTTATCCTCAACTGCCTCTTGTTAAAGATCAAATATTTAAAGGTAACAAAAGAGCAAAGTTTTGCACACCATTGTTAGACCTTTATTAGGTCTTCTTCTTCCTATTATTGTGACCTTTATTAAAGGTTAATGAATTTTCTAATTACCCATAAACATTACGGCGATCACAATAACAGTGTGCAGGAGTTTTTTAATTGCTCATCTTGTCTAAGATGCCATTGCTGAGCTTTACTATGCCTTTGTTATCTAATCTGTGTGCATGTGTGGGTAGAACTGAGTAGAACAGTCAAGTTAAGATTTTTTTATATGCGCTTATATGCAATCAGACGCTAGGCAGATTAAGAAAAGAAGCATAATAGTACCTTATAGAGTCTTCAAGAGTCAAATGATCTCCAGATGTTTGGACCAAATACAGGGATGGACCACAACACTGTGGAGATGTACTGTATATACCTGATTTACAATATTATGTTACAGTTATGGTGCATTAATCCAAAGGAGAAAAAGAACAGCGGCTGGTGTTCTAAAACTGGTGACTGGTCTGCAATCAACAGTATGGACTTTTCCATTAATAGCATCCTCGTCTTATTTTGATTTACAATAAATATGCAGAGGATTGACACTGGGGTTTATGGCTTTTTCATTCTGTTCATATGAACTGGCTTTAGTTAGCACAGTTTTACAGTGATACAGAAAGAGACTTTATAAACCTCGGTAAAGGAGCAAGTGAATTCCTTCCATTTGTCAATAAGGAAAGTTTGAACTTGGTGCTGGAAATGCAAAAATAATACAGCAGGTCTGAGGATACGGTGCCTATATACATTAACAGCTTTGTGTTTGATGGTGAAGGGGAAGTCCCACAGCCACAGTGACATTCCCATCGCCATTACCGAATACATAAAGGTCCTCTGTGTTCAACTTTTCAGGAGAAAACTACCAGTTTTTATGTGTGTGTGCTTATGTGTATGGAAAAGTACTAAACATGAGTTCTTCTAACGTGAACTTCCAGTTCTGGCGTGATACTGGTGCCTCAAATAGAGTGGGGGCTATTACTGGGCTAAATGGAGCGAGTAAGGATGTAAGGATGTTGTTATCAATCTGCTTCATGTAAGTGATTATCTCCTGTTGTTGACAATGTGCCAAAATTCTGAAAATGTAACGAGTGTTTGTGGATATTTCCAAAAACATTTTGTCACTCTAATTTTTCAAGATTTAAATAAAAAAAACATTTGAGTATTACAATGAGTGATGACTATTTACGCTTTATTAAGTGCACCTTGCTAGTATTCGGTTGGAGCGCCTGTTGTGTTCAGAAAAGCTTTAGTTATTTGTGGCATATATTCAACAAGGTGCTGGAAATATTCACACATTCACATTGTGCTCATAAAGCAGTGGTAAGATGTGGCATTTAAACACTGTTCAGGTCCCAGAATACGGCAAGAAAATGTCCCACACCCCATTTAAACACCATCTGTGGCCTGAACCATTGATATAAGTCGGTATAGATCATGATGGTTTTCATGATGTTTACGTCCTAGCATAAATGTCTGAGCAGAATTCAAGATATCGGGCAACATTCTTCCAATATCCTGTTGAATTGTAGCCACAGTTTCCTGCTCTTAGCTCAAAGGAGTGGCACCTGGTGTGGCTGCTTTAGGCCATCTGCTTCAAGATTTGACATGCCAGAATAAATACTCTTGTGCATACAGAGCTGCATGCTAGGTATGTATAGTAACTCATGCCCCGAGTTACACAGTTACTTAGCTTGAAGTGGTAGGGCCATTCTCTTCTGACCTCCGACATCAGCATGGCATTGTCACCCAGAGAAATGCTGCCAAGTGGATATTTTCCATTTTCTTCTGACTCTACTCTGTTAACCCTGTGGTGGTGTGGGAAAAATCCCAAAACATCATGGTACCAACAACATGCCTCAACGTCCCCTAAATTACCTTTCTGTCTTTAAGGGCCACTTCTTTTAAAGTGGTCAGTGAGTGAATGCCCTCTCTTAAACAAAGGTTCTTGGAAAAAATGCATACATATTATATATATACATATAGTTAGCAATTCCCCGAATGGAGTCACCATAATATGTCTGTAAAAAGTACGTTTTTTTCTGTATCAAAACCATTTTTAAGTAAAACAGGGGCAATAGCTGCAATAGTAAGAGGACATTTATTGACGGTCTTTGTTAGTTGTTCATTCATTGTCCATTTTTCATTCTAGACACCCTTAAATGCCGAAAATTGTTTTATAGCCACCAGCATAAACAACAACAAAAAAAATGTGAGCGTTAAACATTGTTTTTTTTTATCTTCCTGAGAATTTTATATGGAATGCAAATGAATAGAAAACAATAAATAAAACTAGCAAAAAACAAAACACGGAACATAATGATGAAGATACGCAGAACAGAGATTAAGATGGTAGAGTGAAATGTCTAGTCACGTAATAGCTTATGGTTAATTGTTTTTTTTAAACATCTGTGATGAAAAAGCACTGTGGAGCTGCTGGATAATTAGAAATAAGTATTAACTGGGCTTGGTAACACTTCACACACTTTGATGATAACATTAATATACAGAAAACCCTTAAACAGCAAATAATCTGAGTTGAAATGACAGGCAAATCAGCATTCAGTTGTGACCAAATCCCTCATTTTGCTGCAGATGTTAAGGAAATGTCACCTAACACAAAGTGCAGTGTATTCATACAGTTTTGCAAAAAAAACTGCTATTTGGCAAGCTCAATCTTTTAAACTTTGGAATACAAATTAGGCTTCATAAAGGCTTTTAACTCACTCTACAGTATCAACATATAGCCTGTCCCAAATAATAAATCTTTGCTAAAATACACAGCTTGTTTGGTCAAACTCAATCATTCATGCACACTTTTGGAATTCTCTGAATTCATACTTGAGTGCTCGCAGTTTAACCCTCATTTACACCTAATAGTATTTAACAAATTACACAAAATTACACAAAATGTTATAAACCAATACTAAAACAAATGAACTGACTATGTCACAACTCTGCCAGCTGTGCACAGAACTTTCTGCCACACAAATCCCAGAACCCTTAATAAGGTCTGACAACAGTCCTGGAAGACTAATATACCTAAAAGGCTTATGGCACTTTTTAAAATTCACAACAACATCCATCTTTCAGGACATCAAACCTCTCATAAAGTAGTAATCTGTCTTGGGAAATGCCTTTAATTCCTCTCCTATAGTAAACAACCTGGCGATAACATTTAGCACATTTCCAATCACAGTTAGCTGTCCAGATCTTGCACTAATCTCTCCCTGGAGATGACAGCGACAGTACGGTTTTTAAACGAACCCAAAAAGAAGCCCAAATTATAAAAAGGAAAACTTGAGTCAAGCAGATTGAGTTGAATATTATTTCCCATTGCCCTTGGTCAATTTATAAATAGAGCATTTTGTCCATCCAGTTTCTCAACTCTACAGTCTTCAGTGCTGAGCCCGTCAGGTTGGGAGTTGCACCTCAATTCTCTGGGTGACGCTGAAAGATTGAAACTCCTCCCCTTTGTCCTCAGGGTACAGTTTTCTTTAGCCAGTCCTAGCTAAGCAGCCGTTACGTGGCTGCGTCTAATGTTCATCGAGCATCCCTTAGGGATGAACCAGCCAGCTATTTGCATCCTCCAGATCCGTTTCCAGTTCCTCGTCTTCATCCAGAGGCTCTGGGGTTCGAAGGGCCAGTTGCCGCAGGAAATCATTTGAATAGGCGGGGGGTTTGGAAACAGACTTCAGGCCGATTTTTTTCTTCGTGAGGTGGAACTGGTCACGGACGAAGTTGTAAAACTCGTACTCATAGCGCATGCGGTGATACAGCACCTGCAGGGCCTCTAAAGTGGGGGTTTGTTTACGCACAGTGCCCGTCATGTTTCCCATTTTCCTATAATCTGCAACAAAATGATGGAGAGACAAAAAAACAAAGTTCAGCAAAGACTAAAATCAAAATGTTTTAAAAAAAGTTTCAAGCACATTTATTTAGACAGGAAATTACTTAATAACTATATCATATATCATCATCTTAAGCCACTTATTTTTCCAGTTAAGTAGCAAGTGATTGCTGTTTAATGTGAATGATTCATATATCACCTCATCTATTTAGATATCTTGCTACTAAAGTCATCATGACAAGCGGTTCGCTAAGCTGGACAAAAATAACATGCAGCTCTTGGTATTTCTTCCTAGCTATATCTGTCACTATGGCCTTCTTGCTCTGCTTGTCCACCACTACTATGCCCTGTTGGTTAGCCATCACCAGTTTGTTTGTCTGTATCTGGAAGTCACAGGATCTTGACTACTATCCATATGAGTTCTAAGAGTGCTACCTAACTCTTATTGCAGCTCTTATAAAGGTGATATTTTTGATAAATCACATACAAAAGGTGTTGCTACCTTTTGTATGAAGTCACTGAATATTTCTCGTAATAAAGATCACCCCAAATCATGTAATAGCACATTTTTATGACATTCAAAATAAACAGATAAACTGTATCTTGTGATCAGAACCTCATTAAAAAAAAGGTATGCATAAATCAAATCATGAGAACTAACTCTGTCCTGTGTGGAAGTTAGAGCATTTTAACGGTCACTACCAGGCTATGCAAATTTGTGACAAAATACCCGCAAAACTATTCACATTCTAATTACGTTGATCACGTTACCATGCTAAAGACTTTTTTATTGTCTTGTATAGGAAAACATTCACTCGATACTCTGACAACATAAAACATTCTATATCACAAGGTGCAGCTACCAGGGCTCTTGTAGATGTTGAGTACTCCAGTAAAGTAATGAGGTAAGAGCCTCTCTAGCAGGAGCAGAACGTCCTCCAGCTCTTCCAATATCCCCACAAGGAGGTAGTTCTCCAGCACATTCTGTTTGGCCCTCTCCAAAGCCCATACTCCTGGCTCTCTGTGTGAGACAGAAGGAAAATAAGACCAAGAGAAAGTTTGCACTAGAGTAGCATTACTTGGAAAGAAATATTACCAAGCTTTTGTAATGCAACTTGACAAAATCTCATAAATACCTGCACTGAGGATGCTGTCCACAGAAGTAGGGGATGATGTAGAAAACCCTTGGGTTGGAGCACTCAGGGTAATTCTCTAGGATGCAAACATTGATGTCCTGAAAGCAGACAAGCACATATGAGTCTTTATATTTTTGCTTTACTAATAATTTATGCTTTTTAAAAAAAAAATTTATTCTACTTGCAGTGAATTTGATCTCAATCAGAATTGCAATTATTTCTTTTTACCACTAGAGGAAGCTATTCACTTGCACTGCCGTGAACCTGGACTGCTTGCCTGTCATTACCCCACAAGCCAAAGTGCTTTGTCAAACCACATCTTGTGCACAAAGATAAGCTCTTCCCTCTCATCTCAGTTGATCTCATAGGCTATGATACCACATAGGAAGAGAAAGTATTTTCAAATGAATTCGTGTTTAACTTAAAGATGTCACGATTAAGATAATGAGACCAGAGTTGTGAAACTTGAAAAACCACTTATCTGAAAAGCTATTGAGTAATGAATGGAAAAAAGACAGTTGCAGGAGTGAAGCTGGCCAGCGACTGAGTGCCACGGAAACAGCAGTCAAATCCATGTCAGGTGACGTAAGCCTCAGGGATAGCAACAAGTCCTGAGCAACAAAACACTCCACGAAGCATGGCTCACATCCACACACAGCAGCAGGCACATGTGTGCACAAGGCTTGCGCTCAAATATGTCACCTACAGTAGGACCAGACTACATGCATGAGGCAAATTTAGAACATTTTGTCATAGGTTGTTGTTTAGATTTATACCATAATGGCTCTGTAATGACTAACTTAAACAGCAATTTGGCAAAAATAGTCTAAGCCTAACATGGATCATCACAAAAATGGCCAAGTCCGACAGGACAAAAGTCAGAGAGCCTCACGAAGGATCCAAGCTGCTGCTCCTGCTGCTGCAGGTGTGGCATAAGAAATCATCTGAGTGCAATAGGAAGCTTGAAACAGAGATGCTGACTGGAGTGTAAACATAGAAAAAGGCATAAACCATGTGTAGAAGAGCATGTTTATATGCTTAAGTGTTTATGTGTCTTGGAGACATTTGCACACTCATTGCTAATGTTTCTATTAGCCTCGACTTATTTATTTCCAGTTGTATTTTCTGGCATGATATAAAAGCCTTACGAGAACAACTCATTGAAAAATGTTGCCATCAGGTCTGCTCAGGGTTTTTCATACAGTCTCAAACATCTTTTTCTAAGGTTGTACAACCTTTGTTCTCAGACTACATAAAGAAAAACTGAATCCAAAAGCCTGTTAAAACAAATGCGAGAAAGATCCTGGATCCTCTGTAGGAGGGGCAGGATTGCAGTAGATGTTGCATAAAGTCTGAAATACTTGCAAGTAAAATGACTTAAAGGCTCCAAACGGAGAAAAGACTCAACTACAACATCATGGACTTGATATTTGAAATAGTGATATCACTTTAGCATCTATCTAAGCTGCAATCACAAGATGAAGCCTTGTGCAGCATGCGCTGGAATGAAATAAATTATTCACCTGATTAGTTAGATTTTTCTTGCGGCTGAAAACTGTGGTACAATTGTGCCTCTGATTCACAGAGTGGCTGCAGGGTGTGTTTGAACTTTATGAGTGACTCCTCTCAGCTGTGCACTGGGAACAGGACTTATTGGTGATCAGTGAAGCAAAAGACTGGAAAACCCTTCAAAGGGAACCACAACAATACCCCAGAGGAACCTTCAGGGAAAAAAGAAAAGTTCAGCACTGTACTATTGTTAGTGTACAAGTCTTGCGCAGACTTGCGTAAAGTTTGCCATGTTTTTCTTTCATTTTTCATTTCACTAGCACGGACCACATCTTCAAGACATTGTTTCTTGAAGGAAAACAGTAGGTGGAATAAAGCTAGATCCAGGAATGGAGATCTAGACGGCAGTTTTGGGGAAGGCCTCAGTGAGGACTGGAAGGCAGCTCGCGGACTGGGCAGATCCCCAGGTACTAATGACAGGTTTATGAAGCGCCATTCTATTTAAAGAATGGTGATGTGAGTGGATCCAGTTTCATCAATTATGAGTATGTTCTTTGATGGTAAAAGATGCAAAAGCCATATACACTAAAACAAACAAAAACAGACAGGAAGTGGCACATTCGCTGACAGAGACCCTCATGCGTCAACATTTAGGCGATTTCTGGGAATCCAGCCACAGCTTGTATACAACAACGCACACACGTACACACACACACACACGTGCAGACAATACGCACTCTCTTTAGAAAACCTTATTAGTATTTCAAAGACAGTTCCTGTGTGCACACTCAAGCTCATTGTTCCTTTTCTCACTGTGGATTATGCCAACAGAGCATTCACAGAAACTGTAGCAAAATAGGCACTAATCTGTACAATGGTCTCCCATTTCACTGAATGGAATGTAGACATAAATTAAATCAGGGGTAATTGATGATGTTAACCTTTCCCATGGGACGTTTTGCATTCAAATTTGAGAAAACAAAAAAAGAACTTTTGTTTGTATTTGCTATCTGGAGGCAGTGGAAAGACGCTTTCGCTTTTTGAGTTAATCTTTTGAACACATAAGCAAGTGGGTGCCTTTTAAACAGGTACATCAGCATTTCTAGTAAAGATTAGAGGTAATAACTGTAATTTTAATATTCTTTAAGTTTTAGGCCTATTTTGGGCTTAACCATTCCATTTATTTTTCTGGTAATTTTACAAAATGGTCTTGAGGCTTCCTGACTGAATTTAATATTTAATGTTGGTAATCCACTTAACACTGACCTATGAATCATTCAAGCAGGAAAAGGCATCTAACTCAAGGGATGAACCAGCGTCGTGTCTACATAAAACAGACAAAATAGCAAAGAAACTATTTAAAACGTTACCTTTAGGCACTTTTTACGCGCAGCCTGTCACAAGAAAACAGAATCTGTTCCCATGTCTTTAGTCGAATCTGTTAAAATGCCAAAGTTGACCAAGTTTGACATATCTTGGCATAGTTTGCAGTGTGTCCTTAAAGAAATTTAAGGCAGCAAGCCAAATTAGGTTTTAATTATTAAAAGAGTGAGGACCTATGCTTTGCACTCATGGTTTTCCTCAGTATCAAAACACTGATTATAGTTATGTTACACAAACCACAGAAATTCATTAAAAAAAAAAAAAAAAATCTGTAATGAGTGAACCTCATGTGTTCGTTGTGCCTTAGGCCAACAGCGTGACACACCACCTGTCTGTTATTGTAGTCAAGGCAGGCTAAGGCAAGACTGCTGCCAGTAAACCCTCTAATATAATTTGTGTATTTATTTAATAAGTCTACTTGTCATTTTAAATGTTGGATTATGTCAAATTACTGTGGGAATCTCATCTGATCGAACCAGTATTTCCAAGTCTTGAGAAAAAGCTGGGCCCTTTAGGTTCAGTGAGGACAGACACTCTTTTTTTATAAGTGTTTGCAAGCGTATTCATATGTAGGCCGCCACACATGCACTTTGTACTTTGCGGCAAGACAGAGGTTGATTTAGTACTGTCAGCGGATGCATCTGTATTTTGTTTTAATTCATAAAAAAACATGCACACACACAAACACGAAACAATCAAACACTCAGCTCAATACAATATAAATTATCCAACCACATCATTCCAAGTTGGCATTTTAAAGCAACTTAAATTTGCATAATGGTTCACAAAATAACTGCGCATGTGGTAAATATCATGTGTGTCTGAGTGTGATTATGTGTGTGCGTGCTATGTTCAACTGACCAGTGCATGCCTTTGTATAAAGTAGCATGTGTGTATGTAAAAGGGGGTGTGGGCACTGACGGAAAATCCAAGCCGACCACAGAAATGTCTCAGTAACACGTGCATCAGGCTCCCTCGGCCCCGGCTAGCAACTGACAGCGCTCTTTCATCAACACCTCACATACAAAACCAACACAGGGCAAGCAGGCTGAAGCACACCAGGTGGAGGATACAGCCATGCCCAGTCTGAGGGGTGATTCTTAACATTAGGGGTACTCTTTCCGTACATACTTGAATTTGTACTTATAGTGTGGACATTCATCTTCCCAATACTGTCAACGAAACTTTAACCATGAAAGACCTACTTAATCTCCCTATAGAGGTGACTTGCCAAGAATCAATGCAGTCCTCCTCCTCTTTTCCAAAAGGAAATGGTCGTGTGAATGTGATGCTCTTCACTGATTTGATATTCTTCGTTTTTCTTGTTTATTAATTTGTTGCTTATATGTTTGAAATAAATATTTGATCGATCAATTGATACATGAAGCCCTAAATGTATCTTTTTGCATATAATACATTTTTGTGCATATTCTGCAGTGTGTACTGTTTTCAGCAGCCGTGTACACCGTGCAGATGGAAGGCATATTTTTGCAACAACTGTTTTTTTGGTTTTACTGATTAGATACTAGAACTAGGTTGCTGCTGTTGCTAATAAAGACAGTACAAAAATAACACCAGGAGTAGCAATAACATAAAAAGCAAAGTAGGAAACCAAAGGAAGACTGAGTTTGAAAAAGTTTTGATTTATGAGATGCTGCCACGAGACACTTTATGCCAGTACAGTAAGACAAAATCTGTGGAACACCATCAACATATTAATTCCTGATATTTTCAGAGCTTTTGGTCAGTTACTTCAAACCTTATAAGACACTCTAGTGATTTAAGTACAACACAGCATTCCTACAATATACTCAATTAAAGGATTAAGCACCAGCATTATAATAATCTAAAATTTACTTTTCTTTACCATTTCTGGAATACTTTCTCCTCATAAGTATATCTAAAGCTAAATGCACACACAGGTAGGCTAGTCGATGACAACACAGCCTTCCCCTCTCCTTTAACTGTAGCAAGGGGCCCCTGTGGTCTGCATACTTTAATAACTCAACTCACATGGTCCAAAACTCCAGGGCAAACAGTGCAATACTTAATTACAGCGAGTCAGACTCAAGCCAGAATGACATTCACTCCTCTTGTTAGCTTCTCAGAACAGCCTCCTGAACCCTTTAGGTCTCTCATAGCACTTACTGTGGGAGGAAAGAATGAGAAGAGTTTGTGCCTAATCTTAAACAAATATTAATACGATTTTGTTTTGACCTCACTTTTGTTTTGACACACTGTTTTCCGTTTTTGTTGGATTCCCCCTAAATTTCATATGAGGCTTGGGCGTCTCACTTCAGGGGGATTTCCGACCTCCGATCAGATGCTTCATCTCACTTTTAACTTTTAACTGTCATCTGCTTAAAAAGTATATAAGGGAATGGAGTGAACACAAAGATCAAAAAATAGTAGCTTGAAAATTACAGTATGCTTCCATATGGTAGGTAGAGTTAAAAAAAATGGTATGCAGTGACTTCAATCTGGTGCTACAGGGATAAACAACTCTGTGAGGCAGATGTAGGATATCAAGTTTCTGATGTGGTAAATCGAGTCTTTAATTCGAATCCTAATCAGATTTATATATTGGGTTAGCGTCAGACTGCCATGAGTTTACAATTTGCCATCCACCCTGGAGCAACACCACATGTGGAACATCTTCAAAGAGAGTAGAGTGTGGTTTTAATATATTGCTTATATTTTTGAATTTAGGAAGTTAAAATTTGTCTTGAGAAAGCAACAAACAGAAATACAGAAGAAAAGGGCTAAAGCAGAATATTAACGTCAGGAGGATCATCTCTTCTTAACATTTTTTAAAGAGATCCTACAGGCTAATTACAGTGCAGTGTATAGTATCATTACTACATATATGTAGAGCATGTATAAACATTCCTCAATATACATGCCCCTGTAATTAAAGTCTACATCATGGAAACACCAGAATAAGACTTCATTATGCAACATTTCAGTTCATGTCTCTACTGAGCATCACGTTGCGAAAATAGTGAGCCTGCAACCAAAGTTATTCAAATTTAATGCACTGTTACCGGCCAACCAGTGATTCACGCATAGCAACTAAGTGTGTTAGCTTGTCAAACACTTCTAATGCATTCATATTTCAAATCACAAGCATCTCTGTCACTGATTTAGCAAATGTCAATATGAGAGCAAATGGGTTTGGGGCACTCGGACCAGCATTAAAAGCAGACAGAGGAAAAAGGTTCAGTAGTTGTTTGACTCATTAAATAATACTGTTATAGTTTGTGGGCACTGGATATTGTGGGATCACAACACCATGGCGACCAGATGTCTTGCCCCCTCAAAAGTCACAGCGTCACCTGCTGTTACGAGTGTGTTTTCTTATTGTTGAGAGCTTCTCTGATTTGGTTATTGAATTTGAACATGCGAACATCAGATTTTTGCAAAGTGGTTTGTGGACTATAATTATGACCACATAGACCTCATTGTGGTGAGTTTTTAGCTAACCTTAGCCAGTTTGGTTAGTATCTGTGAGTTAAGTGTGATGACCCACTCCACGTTGCCTTCCTGTTGGCCTGTTTGTGGTGTAGGTGTTATCTGCTGGCATTGGAGAGCTGTTGTGTCCCATTTTCCATCAATAACACTGTCAACACCTGGGCACAGTGTGGCAATGCTTTCTAAAAGCCATCGAAGTTGCAGAGTGGAGGCTCTCCTATCTGAAATAACCTTTTGGATTTTGTTTGTTTTTTGCACTAAATGTTCCAGTGTGTGTGTGTGTGTGTGTGTGTGTGTGTGTGTGTGTGTGTGTGTGTACACCTGGGCAGGTGTGAGCTATTAGCAGTGATTGCATGGTTCTCTAGTATAGTAGGTGAATTGTAGGCATATCAATGTGGCCCATTTGTGCTAGTTGTAGGTTTTTTGTTTTGGTTGTGTCAGGTGAGTCACCAGCTTGCTGCTGTTTAAATGGCTCACCTCTAATTTCAATGAAGACTAGGGTTCATAAAATAGGTAAGCAGAAGGAGGCTTTTCCGCTTTGGTTCAGGGACATGTTGTATCTTTCATGTACTAACCGACCTGGGGCAATGCTGTTTGCTGGCTTTGTTTTTTTCCCCTCTCTTCCTGGGTCTTAGACTGAATCATGGCAGGGATGGAGGAATTTGTTGCATCACCATTAGACGGTTTTCTGGATTGTTGTACAAAAGTTCACCTTCTGATATTTACTGACTGAAATAGGAGAGTTAGTGGCTGTGCAAATGAGAGCTGATCACACATCAATACTGTCACGTGTGGTTACACCAGGAAACCTGGCTTTTGAACAGCAGAATCAGAATCATCAGAGTCAGAATAATTTATTAACCCCTAAGGAAATTATGTAAATGACTCACTTTGTTGCAAATGACATATGAAAAGGAAAAGCAAAGCTGGAGATTGAGAGGCAAAAGCTGGAAATGGAAAAGGACAAGCTGGAGGTTGTTAAACAAAGGACAGTTGAGCAAATGCAACATGAGCAACAAGCAAGATAGACTTGCAAAATACTTGGCTGGGTTTGGTAAGTTTTGCTGGAGGAGCGAGTTTTACTGGGGTTATTAAATCGGTGAACAAATAATTGTTGGGGACTGGGAAATGTTTTAAGTAACTTATCGTTTCTGACTGACAGCAGGTAGACTCTGGGTTTTTTTGCACTAACTGACACTGCATACACCATTTCTTTGCCAATGCACTTATTTACACTTCTTATCATGCTGACTAAACACAGCATGAAGTTCTTTCCTTGTTTGTTATAAATGAAAAAACAGTCTTTTAATTGGCATTTGTGTGCATCTCCCTTTTTTAGTCATGGCCGTGTGGCCCAGTTTGTGATAAAGGTCTACCATATTAATAAGATCTTTAAAAAAAACAACTTGAGCACAGACTACTTAGGCAGCATGTTTATTACCATTGACCTACTTTATTTTGTGAACAAAAACTGCATTAAAACCATTCTAAGAGACTTAAACCACAATAGAGGTTCAGATCAAATACCCCCCAAACTAGTTGCTTCCTGTTAAAGGGGAGGTTTTCCTTCCCGCTGTCGCCAAGTGCTTGCTCACAGGGGGTTATCTGATCGTTGGGGCCGAACTGAATTGAACAGTTAGGAATGACCTCTTCAACAACTGTCTTTTAGATTATTTATCTGAATTTCAGGTTCGGGATCACACCTCATACACTCCCCTTCTGGTTCCACGACTATATAAACCTTCCTACACTATAAGTTAGTTCACGATTTTGTGCCCCACCCTTCCCCACTTTTCTCAGCTCTCACGCTTCTCATTAGTATTTGGGGATTTGCCAGGCCTGGGAGCAGCCACCACTCCTCACTGAGGCCTTCCACAAACTGCTGTCTCAAACTTCGGTCTATCCTTATGCCACTTGTCATTCTCTGTTAAGAATCACCATCAAATCAAATTGAGGATGTGGTGCCTTCTAGTGAACTGAAGCGTAGCACGAGAGGCCAAAACTATTTTTTGTACTATGCCGTAAACATGTTTCTCCTGTAAAGTTGACCATTTCGACATTGGAGTTTATGGGAACTCTTTTGCTTTTGCAGCCAGCCTCAAGTAGCAAACAGCTTTGAAGAACCGCAGTTTTTGCCGCTCTGGTAATGATTCCTTTTTGTTAGTCTCCGAGGCTGTGGTGAGTTCAAACCTCTTTGTTTATAAGAAAAGCAATACATTTATTCACCAGCTTGGTTTCTTGTTGTTTCATTTACAACAAGGAGAGAAAAAAACGAAAGCCCAAAAGCCCAAAGCATAAGACGCATATCTACGAGAACTTTAAGCAAGTAAGTCCATGTGCACTTAAGGCTTTTCAAAAATAAAATGTATCTCTGCAGAAAAGCTTCTCACCAGGTATCTCTCGTCATCTTTCATCCCTGGAGTTCGGATTAGGTGGTTCTGCTCGCCCCTCCAGTCACCAAAGCGACGGAAGAAATAGTTGGAGAGGAAGCGATTGATGGGATCCCGGATTATGTTGATATACACAGGCTGCTCTATCTTGAACCTGACACAGATAAATAAAAAGCACTCAGTAAGAACCAAAAAAAGAAACCCAAACAAAAAAAAACAACCCCACATTTTAGCCAACACTCATGAAATACTTTTGTAGACATTACCTTGTAAAGTTGATGAAGTGAACATGTCTGGTATAAAGGAATGGCTGAGGAATACTGCTGATATTTTTCATTAGATCCACCTGGGGAAAAAATGAATATGCATAAAATCAAACATCTGCAATGGATACGGACAATTTAGACAAAACAGCATCTTTAATTTTTGTTTTTGAAAGAGAAATCAAAAATTCCCATCTGAATTAGTTAAATATTTGACCTCAAATAACCTCTCATAAAATAAACAAGTCATTATGTAAATAGCTATGGGGCGGCCTGGATTCACAATAAAGAATCAGAATGTAATATCACTGTTTTGTTCATCTCACAATGTTCATCACCTCAACATCTTGGATCTTTAGCCAAGATTTTGCCAACACCTCTAAAGCTGTTATTCAAAGTTTCTCCACCCTCTGCAGAATGAACAAATAAATCAATTAAGAAAATGAAATAAAAAGATTCCCACTGGGCTTCCAGGTCTGCATGGAGAGGCAAGCAAAAAGTACAACTACAGAGTGCAGAATAGCATAAATACTAAGCAACTGGATCCAAAATCTTAGTCATTCCTCACATAAAAGGTTCCATATTGGAGTAATTCACTATGTAAGATCCAGTTATCAAAGTCACACATGTAAAAAGTTAGTTTAATTCAAGCTATGTCTCTGCATCAGAAAATGATGCAGTATGCCTAATTTAAAAATAATAAAAACACAGAACAATGACTCAAAATATTGGCTAGCTTGTAGCGACATTTAAGTACTTTGAGTGGCTTTTACTTTAAGATGTGAGAGTGCAGCGCTCTTTTCCAGTTTCAAATATACTAAGCTGCATTTCTCTATTTGTATGCAAGCTGTGAATTTATTTTCCCCTTACTCATTTGCCTTTCTTTATTCCAGTCTCTGTTGTGTAGTTTAACTTTGGCAAGTTCATTTAGCTGAGCCTTTAAAGACAGAAGATAAGTGTAAAAGAGATTATAGGCCCAGTCTTTCAGTATGGCCACAGGGGAAGTTAAAAAACACTGGTACTTTGAGTCCAAAGATGAATGTACCTCAAGTCCAAGTAGCTTCTGTTACCCATTTGTCTCGTCTTACTTTAATTTTCTTTCATTTAGTCTCTCAAATTACGGAGACCTTTTCTCCTGCACCAGAGTCACTTTTAATTACATGACACATTGTTTTCAGGAACTTTTTCTTTTCATTTTACCAGTGATAAAACTGCAATAAAGTTCATCCTATTTCTCTATATCAAAGCCCTTTCGACCAGTGAGCAGGAATCAGCACTGCAAAGCCAGGAAACAGACCGCACATTACAGCTCGAGGTCATATTCATGTGAAGTTTAAGTCAAAAGGTGTGTTTGTGTGTCTGCGTGTGACTTTGCCCATCAGTTTCGACAGAGAGATAGAGGCTGAGGACTGTACTGAGAGGCAAGGCTAACCCACAAAATTAACTGCAGAAGACGGGCAGAGATGGTCTCAAGGCAAGGTTATAATGGAAACCAGCATGACCATGTCTAGCACGAAACAAGCTCAATGGCAGAACAATGCAGGCGATTTGAGAACAAGGGAACAAAACATAGTGATCCCAACTCCTCCATCCTAACTATATATAAAAGACTGACAGAGCTTCTGATACTTAACAATTCCTGAAAGCAGTATTGAAGCACCTTCAAATCTGTATTATTTTCTACTGGCTATCAGCGGCGACTGCTGTGGTTGAGGAAAAAAGGTCAGATAAAGAACGGTGTCCTTTTGTAAGAACCTATCTTGTTTTTAAAAACTCATTATATCCCACTACTTCTGAGTGACATCCACTTCTAGCTTGTCATATCTGCTTCAAAAACACCCAAATGGCTGAATTGCTCATCATAGGGTTTCAGGATGGGACTTGTATGGTTGCCCTCATAACTGCTGTGATATAATTGCTTCTTTTCGTTGTATTCGTCTTTCAGCTTGTCCCTTTATTGTCGACACAGCGAATCATCTGTCATCTCACCCTATCCCTAGCATCCTCTTCTTTCACACCAACCCTCTGCACATCCAACTTTACTATCCGTGAATCTTCTCTGTGATTATCCTCCTTTCCTCCTTCCTTGCAATTCCACTCTACCCAATTTCCCCCCCTCTGCCCAAACCATCTCAACCTTTGTCTCTCTTTGTCTCCAAACCGCTCAGCCTGAGCTGTACCTCTGACATACTCGTTTCTAAGTCAGTTCATCCTAGTCACTCCCAGAAAACCTTAACATTTTCAACTGTCACCTCCAGCACGGCCTAATGTCTATTCATCAGTGCTGCCATCTTCAAACCATACATTACAGCTTGTAAACCTTCTCTTTCACCCCTGACACTATTCTTCTGTTACAAATCACAATCCTGACACTCATCTCCACCCACTCCACCTTGCCTGCACTCGTCTTCACCTCTCTTGTGGACTGTCCATTGCGTTGGATATAATAGATTTAGATATAATTGGTTCTTCTTGTAATGCCTTCCATACTCCACACTTATCAGATGCTGTCACTGTCACCTCTGAATAACAATATTTGTTGCTACAGAGAGCCATAGTCATTTCTGTCTACAATCTGCAATTCTACATTGCTGCAAATTCAACAGCATGGTGTGCTTGGGTAATGAGGATCTGTAAGACGTGACTCTAGCACCTTAAACCCACATCTTGCATATCTAGCGGAATCTGGATTGTTGAGATCTACCTTTTATAGAGGTGCAGAAAAAGAGCAAGAGAACTTCAACAATATAATCTCAATAAATCAGTCTGTTTTTATTTGTGTTTTTTTGTTGTCGTTGGGTTGTGGTTTTTTTTTTTTTACATTCCATGCAAGGTTTCATTCATTTATTTTAAAAAAGAGTGGCTGAAAGGGCTTCTTTGTGTTCTGCATTGGTCCATGTCCACCTTTTTTCATCCAGTGGCAATACACAGAGCATGACTCTACCGGGAGAGGTGCCTGCTGTTAGATCATTATCGCAACGAGTACACACAAAACCCTTCAAAAGGAAAACACAGTCTTTGTAGAAGAAAACGAAAATCTATAAAGCTGCAGCAGGAGAAGAAGACACCAACTTGGCACATTTAAAATTCTCCACTACTGCACAGCAGAAGGACAGCGGAGGTGAATTATGCATTACAAGGGAATAATGGGCACATTAAGAAAATGTCGCTGCAGGCAAATCCTTAACAAGTTGGAAAGTTTCTTTTTTAATCTTGGCTTCCAGGTTACAGCGGCTAGATGTCAATGAGCCAAGACTCTCTCAGTGATGAGTTTGTGTGTCCATCAACAAGCTCCAGGAGAGACCAAGCACAGTTATTTCAGAGGTTACCAGCAGCAGCAAACTAAATGCAAGGCAAAGAAAGGTCGATTACATGAAATTTCTGCCAAGACTTTTTTTTTTTTGAATACATGACCTGCAGAAAGGTGCAAAGACCCTTTCCTCACATCCATCAGGTAAGGCTAAGAAAAGTTTGGGACTCCAGTGTTTGTGTTTGTTAAAGTTGCTTTAATGCGTTACTTTTCCTTCTTTCCGTTTCCCATGATCCATGACGTCAAGAGTAAATCTTAAAATACAAGTGAAAAGTAAGTCTTGGTAAGTTGGGTTTCACTTTAAGACGTAAAGTATTGTCATTGTCGCAGAATAAAGATTACTGTAATTGGCATAAACAGTTTCTTAATACTCTCAACACGTCTGTAAAACTGGGGCCGATTCTCAAATCTTACTTATAACGGTCATGTTCCCTGTCGTTACAGTTTCGGTCTTTATTTAAAATGCTCTCAGTCAAATGAACCGATCGGTTAAGTAACAGTTTGAATGACCTGCTCTTAAAAAACTACATAGAGGCAGCTGTTATGTCATAGACTTACTGTTTGGATAGCAACAGTAATATGTATACTTGTTTATGTACGGAGAGTGGTTAATCTGAGGCCCCAATCAGATTTGGGCTCAGTACATTTCCACTCACTCTGCTTCCCCTTCTGTGGATCTCTCCTGCTAGAAAAGTAAAAAAATGTAAGAGTTTCATTAGCACTGTGGAATTTGTTAAGCCACTCTACAGCATTTATTACTTTACTTGAATTACGCATATAAACGTACATTTTAAAAAACATTTTCCCCTGATGTTCCCACCCCCGCGCCCAGGTTAACATGCAGGCACTGAATGCATTTAGCACGTTTGCTGTATTTGTGTGTTCTTCAGCCCCACCCCTTTAGTCCGTCTGGCCAGACCTCACTTTCATTCACCAGAAAGAAAGTAGAGGACGGTCTGAGATTCCAGGCATACCTGCAACCCTCCGAGCCCCTACTACCTCCTCCCCACAGCTCTGGTGGTGTCCTCACAGGGCTCATCAGGGGAAACGAAGGGGGAACCACAGAAAGATTTGACTGCTGCCCTGGGTTCAGTTTGCCTTTATATCACAATCAACTTATTATAAGCCTAAATAATCAGTAAGTGTGGTAAGGTACACACTCTTATCTTTGGCCAGACAGTGGTAGGAATCATGACTTCGATGGCAGACAAATGGATGGTAAAGAATTTTTCTCCTTGTTTTTTAAAGGTCTTACGTTTATTTTTTATAATTATTATTCAGGAAATGCCACAAATCTCTTTCACTAAGCCTGTTCTGGTGCACAGATAGTTCACGATACTGTGTGCCTCAAAGCCCATAGCAGCTTTGCAAAGTTCCAGAGAAACATGGCACCATCACTTTTGGTAATCAGCAAACAAGGCATCGACCCTGGGCAAACCCATTAAAGCACTACTGGGAGTGCCAGCAGGAAACCCATCCAAAACTGCAGTCCAGAGCCAGAACCACAACTGATGAGACCAGCATTTCTAAACTTAGGTGACATGCGTCTGGATCTGCGTAAGTCAACACAGAAGTACACATGCGAGAAGAACACACAAACACAAGCACAGACTTACACTCTTAACCAGACCCCCCTTGAATGTGCACAGTCTTTCTAAAAAGATGTTTTATACCCCGTGAATTAATGAGACTAACCGTGTTCTGCCACTGTCTGTGCAGCCAGCATTCAGAGATTGATGAATGGGCAAACAAGTAACTGTTTCAATATTAGTGTAATATTTACATCAGTTTGGTCAGTAATGGTTATATATATTTAGTGTCTGCTGACCATTCACAAGTGGTTAGCAGTACCTTACTTCGAAAGAAGGCTGCAAATGTGAGTCACTACTGCAGCACTCCCACACAACCACATGATTAAATTTCTTTTTTGCCCAGATGGCTTAAAAGAGCATTGCATTACTGAAAAAGTGAAATCTAAAAAGTACATGTGACTGGTATATGATACAATAATTCTAAATAACTCCAACCCACACTACAAAAAAGAGAGAAGTAAGACCACACAAAGGTAAGGACTGGCAGCTCGCAAAGGAGACCCTAACCTCCAGGAGCATAATTGATGCATACATGATGGATGATTGCGAGCATATTTTGAATAAAGTTCGATGCTGCGGGAGAGGAGATCAGAAGTTAACGATAGACAGCGATAAAGATGCATTTGATGCTGAAGGCTTGTGATGAGTAGACACGGTTGAAATGGTGTCTAATTTATATGACATTGATGCCAATAAGACAACATTTACTGTAACATTTGCTATTTTAATGCACAGGAAAAGATGGGCATAGGAGATGAAAGTAGCAACAATGAAAATTCAGGACAGCTGTTGAAAGTTTGACAATTTAGGTCCATTAGATAAAAGCAAAGATGGCAGTTTCTTCTTCACATAGATATTTCTACCAAGGCTAGGTTGTCTGCATGAATGAAAATGGATTTATCAATTTGCTTTATGCCTCCAAAGCAGAGCTGCAGTTACTACAGAACAGATTTAAAGGCAGCTAAGAACGGACAAGAAAGAGTTTAGTGATATTGACCGATTCTTTGAATTCTTAATGGTTCTTCTTTGGAGTTCCTGCAAAACCCCCCAATACCAGTGAAAGGAGTGGCATCTGTGTAGAGTTAATTTGTGTTGGAGGACATCTTAAATGTCAAGTTCCTAAAAGAAGATACCATTTAAACTCACAAGCGGGGTCACCGAAGGCGCATTTGTGATTTAGAGGAGCTGTCATGGGTAATTATGCTGATAAGCAAGGGTGTAAACAATGCAGCGAGAGAGTGGCAATGAATGACTGGTCAAGAAAGATGATGCACAGGGCTAGTATCAAGTGCCAGAAGAGGGAGCAAATTGGGGCAGGAAAGGGTAAGAAGAACATTTTGTGAGGAGGACTATCAGACTGATGCTGCTGAGTTTCACAGAGTAAGAATTAGATGGTGCCTACCATGGCATGAGGAACTTGGAGGATGTTGTCACTTTTTGTTATTATCGATGTGGATCCACTACCAGACTTTATAGAGCTGGCATCCGTAGAACGGAGAATTGGCTCTCAGTAGTTCAAGGACATAGCAACCAGTAGCTAAAATGTAGCCAGATGATGAAAATGCAATAAGCAGTATTTACATCTGGCAACTTATACTAAGAAAGTTGATGAAGAAGCAGGTTGAATTGTTAATTAATCAGTGCATCAGTTTGCCAACACTTAAAAGCCATATAGTGAGACTGATGTGCCAGAGAGAGGTACAGAAGATTTTTAATTTGTAAATGTCGTCAGTGGTTTCTGACAGGAATGGTTTAGAGAGTAAAGAGTGTTAATGGGTTTGACAAGCACTGGATGTTTAACTTAACACAGCGTGCCTGTAAACCCTGCTGGACAAAAACATAGCGCAACACTGGCTTGTCATTAATAGATGGAATGCTTGATCTATCTGTTTTCCCTGCATATATGTATTTGTTATTGCAAGAAAAGGAACAAGACCAGCTGGTGCAGAGAATGCAGATTCTTTGAACGCAGCCCCAAAGAGACTTGAAATGATGGGACATCAACTGGCATCCTGGTGCCAAAGATGAGCCAAGGGCACTTAAGAGCAATTTCATTTGCATCAGTTTCCTATAGTTTCTTGATTGAACTACGAGGAATGATTGTCACAAGTGTACCCAGTCAGCAGTAATACACCTTGCTGTATTAAATGACAGAGTACGCCACAGACCACCGTAATCCCATTTGAGGCAATACTTGTATATGATAGCATCTCGTTGCTATGTTTTATCGAGGCTAAACGCAACCCAGGAGAATGGTCAACTGTGGGGATGGAGAAAGATTTGGCAACCTGGTCCTAGAAGTTGGAGTAGATAAATATAACAAGTAGGACAGAGAAATTGCATCTGGCAACCCCGCTGCCTGCAACTTTTTCAACATACTGAAGTATGTTGAAAAAGTAAGATAGAAGAAACGGAAACTGGCATCCTGGTGCTAACTGTGGAAGTAATGAAAGGATGGTGCTGAAAACGATGCCATGAACTATGTTCTTGAAGGTAGAGGCTCATTGCTGCTCAAAGATTAACCTTGCTGAATGGGCAAGTGGAAAGGATACTGATGCTGTAGTGGGGTCAGACTAGAATAATAATAACTTGATTTTCCTGGTCTTGGACCGTGAGCATCATTAGGGTAAAACACTTTCAATAAGTTAGCTGTATTTTTTTGAGCAATAATGGCTCATCCTTTCACTTGGAGGACTCACTGCAAATTGATTCAATTATCCCAATCACACTCCCAGTTTATTAAAACCATACCTAGATAGAAAAACAGTTATAGATTGACCTCCTCAGAGCCTAGACCTCAACAATACTAAAACAGTGTGGGATCATCTTGACAGGAAATGGAACAAAAGGCAGCAAACATCTAAAGAAGAGCTTTGAAGGTCCTTCAAAAAGCCTGGAGAACTATTCCTGAAGACTATTTACAGAAATTACAAGAAAGTTTGCCTAAGAGAGTTCAGGGTCTATTGAAGGATGAAGGTTGGCAACCAAATGCTGATTTTCAAAATTGTACATACTCTGTTTTTCCCTTTAGCTACAAAAACTTCAATTTTTCCTAGCAAAATCTATAGAAATGATGGGTGGATCAAGACATTTGCACAGTACTGCATATATCAATTAGAAAAAGATTTAAGAAAGGGCATTATTTATACACCTTAGCATTTTCACTCTTATTCCTACTAGCATGGCTGAGCACTACGTCTTAAAAAGCTGTGGTATTTTTAAAGGAACGCAGTTTTTCCTCTGTAAACCCAATGCTCATGTCCTCAAGATATTCCAGGAAATAATAAAAGAAGATTCATGATCCTTCAGTCTTTTTCTCACAATAACTACAAAAACAAGCACTGAATAAACCGCTGCTGTTAATTTGACACTGACCACACAGTTATTTGAACAATGCACAGTTGCTTTAGCTTCACCTGGGGGACACACGCTGCTACTCGAAGGATGTGACAATATCATCTGGCTGTTTAACAGTGAAATGATTTAGACCTGTTTAACTACACTCATATAAAAACAAATGATGAATGAGTTAGGAAACAGTTTAAAGTTGACGGATTTGAAGACCACAAACCCTCACATGAAAGAAATTATTTTTTAGTGTCATTTTTTTCCCCCATATTTTCCAGGATGATTAAATTGTCCAAGTAAAAGGGAAGAGAAGAAAAAAAAAAAGCTACATTTCCATGGCAAACTAAGTTTAGATTGTTTTAAATGATCCAAAACTGCTATTAAGGGACTCCAATGTAGACTTTTGATAGTTCGGCTATCTTTTTGTGTAATGTACAGTACACTTGTTGTATTGTTTTACATGTGAGATGTAGTGCTTCGGCGAACCTTATTTTTGGTACTAAGCTTGCATCTACTGCTCTGAAGAGCAGCTGGCAGATTTGAAAGCCTTGTGCCTCTTTTTTCTTCTTTTGATGAACTATTAAAAGGACGTTTTTTTTCATAGCTGAACTGCAAATGATTTTTTAGGATGAACTAGGATATTGTTTGGGGCTTTCACTGACCGTAGACTTATTTAGAGCTTCCAGCACCCCAAAGAGATTTTCAACATAATTTTATACAATTCTGAATTGTATACACACACACACACACACCCACACACACACACTCGTTTTCATATCTTATCGAGGACATCTCATTGCCATAATGCTTTCCCTAACTGCTTACCATAACCCTAATCATCAAAAATGAATGCCTAATCCCAACCTTCAACCTAAACCTATCCATAACCTCATTGTAACCCTGACACTAAAACCACATTTTGAGCCTCAGAAATGCCTTCAAACTCTTGGGAAGAGCATATTGTCCCCATAAATGACTGTTGGTCCTCACAAGTATAGTAGCATGACAATGTTCTGTCCTCACAAAGATGTCTTAACATCTAAACATGTACACACACAAAATATAATACGAAAAAGATAGATTTTGCTATATTTTGTGCTTTCTCTTTTGTTTCCGTTCAGTTTTTTGGTTCTTTCTGTTGTTCCACAATATAATGTGTTATCACATGTTAGATCTTCCCCATAATCTTCTACCAGTCTTTTAAATCCATGCATCATTGGACCACAGTGCGATCTGGGCTACCTTACCTGTTCATGCTTAGTGAGCCGTGTTTTGTTGTGGATGTCAGAGGAGACCAGGTTGAACTGGTGTTTCTCAGCGAGTAACCTCAGTAAGATGACCACCGTCCGGCTGCCGCACTTTCCCACACGATTATAGATCACCTGGCTTGGGAACGGGAGTACCTGCGAGGACAGAAACGCACACATGTATTCTATATTTTACTTTCACTGTTGATAAGTGAAATGTGCATTTACTCTGTGCCATTTTGACTATAAAAAAGCAGCTAAGGAAAAAATATTGTGAAAAAAGCAGAAAAAGGGAAATGAGGAAATGTATTAAATTCTTACGACATTCTCCTGTAACTTTGTGTCTGAACTTTGACCTCTAGTTATAACCTACTCTCTCTAGAGCTGAACTAAACTGCCTTGACAACACATTAATAGTACATTAAAAATAACAGACACAAAGACCTAATATGAGTATACAGTGCTTCACTGTTCTCCCCTTAAGCTCCTCCACAGAACTTAGTCAAAACGATACTGAGGCAAAATCACTTGGAAGTTCACACATGACTCACCAATTAGCTCATCCATGATTCACAAACTTAAAACTGTCGATACCAGTCTATTTCATTTCCAAGAAATTGACTAATGATTTACATTGGAAGGTTATCGCTGATGTGTAATTTAAATATGAAACACATTTAAGCACAAGGTCAGCAAGAATGCACTAATTTGGCATTTATCTCTAAGAGTTCACAAGGCTTACACAAGTGGCCCCTAAAGAATGAAAGCACTCTGAGAAAATTTATCAGTGAGAACACCCCCCTCCCCTCCCTGACACACACACACACAAAGCCTTATTTTTCTGATTCTCCGCTAAGAGCAGCCCCACCCCAGCACAGAATCCGTACAAACAGTGAAGGCCTCTCGGACTATTTGCCAGAATTTAGTGGAAAAGCAGAGAAAACAATAGGACTGATGTTGAAGCGTTCAAGGAGGGAGAAAGAAATGATGAGAGGGCCAGAAGGGAAAGATGACACCACCGTATCAATATCACTTCCCGCATATACGTCCCAGAATCAAAGCCTGTTCCTGGATTTCATTAGCAAGTGAATACGTTTGATGCAAATACACGAGAACACGCCCTCAGATAAAGAGGTAAAGAACTGAAATGACAACATAGCTTCAGTTAGGATAAGATTATACAAGTTTAGAGATTGTTTTTTTATTACCTAACAAGAAAAGTTTGTTATTCTAACAAAAATATGAAAAAAAAGAAAGAAAAAGAGCGATATCATTACATTTGGGAAAAGTTTTTGAGCTGACAGGAAATAGATCTCTTGGACAGCAGTTCAACTTTCCACAGTGTTTGCCAAGTAACTACAGGCTGAAATACATTCAGTGTTTCACAGGACAGCATATCATGACAAATGACTGTCAGACTTCTAACATCCTGCTGCTGACTAACAGGAATAACAGCAGACATGCCTTCAAAAGTCCAAATCTCCCGCTGGCACTGACAACACAGAAAGGGCAAGCTTTCAGCTTGTGCTATTGTTGTTCCCACTCTGTAGAGCTTGGTTTCTGATACACGCTGGGAGAAATGTCCACAGGGTCTACCAGTAAAGATTCTGTCAGAAAGTATTATGTAACCATGCTGTTTCCCATCATGTTAGAGAATGACACTTTTTCCTGTTAATATTCATGTTGTTATGGGTTTTTTTAATCTCTAGCTTATATCAAGCAGACTCGGAGATGAGCAGTCCACTTTCCTATTCTCCTTTTCCCCCCTCTCTTACTTGCTATTCCACAATTCTTCCCACACATTCACACAAAAAAAAAAGTATCGAGTTTCTTTTTCTTTTGCACAGTTTGAAATGTGTCATTAGTTCAAAAAACACACATAAATTATTATGAGTTTCTCATGGCTGGACCGGCCATCTCTGATATGAATATGATTAGCGGTCATTTTTCTCAATCTTCAATCATCTAACAGGAAGTTTGAGAAAATGTCCCGGTCGACTGCGCGTTACGACCACAGCACACACACTCATCTGTCTTTTGCAGCTGCTCCAGGAAAGCCACACACCGATATGCTGCTAACCTGCCCTTTGTTTGTGTTCACCCTGGTTTTATTTAGGACTGATTTGGGTTCAGTGCTCCTTAGTATCAACGGCTCATTTATCGCTAAGTGAGGGGTGGCAATTAGTGTTAGGGTGCAGTCGACATTCTCAGCAACTTCCTCTAAATACTGACCAATCCATTCTTCTTCACTCTCATCCAAAAGAGGAGAAAGGGAGTCTTACTGCACTCAGTAGCAGTAAAAGTGGAGTTTCAAAGTATCTAAATAAGCACCACTAATGCTTTACATTAGTTGAAATGAACAATGACTTGATTTGTGCCTTAACAAATGAGACAAGAATAATTCAACTCAGTTTTAATCATATAATGCCGAATCACAACAACAGTTGCCTAAAGGCGTTTTATATCATAAGGTTATGACCCTACATTAATACAGAGAAGACCTTAACAATCAGATGACCGACTCTGAGCAAGCACATGGCAACAGTAGGGAGGAAAAGCTCCATTTTATAACATGAAAAAGCATCTGGCAGGACAAGGCTCAGGAAGGTGCAGCCATCTGCCTTTGGAGGAGGGAACCAGGACAAAAGAAAGCTGTGGAAGCCCGATAAATAATAACTTGGATAGTAAGAGAAATTAATATAAGATACTAGTGCTGAACGGCCCTTTAGGATTATGCTTCAAGTTTTCTAGTTTAATTAATATGCCTCTGTAAGCAACAGGGTTCCATATGATGCTGGAGTTTAGCTTTGGTTATTGGTTCCTCTTATAAAGGGGGATGCTGCAGCAAGCTGCAGTAGAATTAGCCTAACACTGAAACGTTTGTCTTTATTGTCAATGTATGGGCATATATGATGTAATTAAGGTTGTTGCTTATGTGTTGTATTATGTGTTATTTGAGTAGATCATCATTTTGGGATTCTTCAGTCACGGGGTAAAGGTACTACACAGACTGGAGTACCTCTCAAGGCCTTGAGGGAACTATTGTTGCGACGCTATGTAAATAAAATTGAATTCAATTAAAATAGTGTCAACAAGAGATTATGCTTTTCAGTAAACATGCCATTTTTGCACTTCCAGACCAGAAGTTCATAAGCACCATGTTGTGTTTGATGGAGCATAATGAGGTCCCCTCTAGCATACATCTGAGCCCTCCCCCCCCAAATCTATACAATAACAAATTCATCAAAGCTTAAGGGCAGATGGCTTCTCCTAACAATTCTAACAATTAAATAAACTATGTAATTATATTGAAAAGTGCTGCAAAGTGTGTTTCATAAAGTGACGGATATACATTTCACACATGTGCAAAAATTGTAGAGAGGACATTCTTGTAGTGCTTGCACACACAAAGGCTCATAACTCTATTCTGAGAGCTGCGTGGTTTTTCCATACACCCTCATTCATGCTGAGCTTTCAACTCGATTTCTAATCTTTCCCCACATTTACCCAAAGCTCGACCTTCTGCACACGCATGCTACGGAATGTCAGACCTCTGCTGAAGGTGCAGATCAACTGTAACTCTAGGGGGATGTTAAAACGATAATGAGAGATGAGGCTCATGTACTGCTTGCCACTGACATGGCAGTTGCATCATCTGTCTGGGAAGAGATGACAGAAGATATGGAATCAGTCAATGCAAGCAAATAACATATAATCACTAGTCTGTGCCTCCAGATGCGCAGACTACTCAACCTAGTTTATATATTTGGAGGCTGTATTTAGTTATCAAAGCTGCTACAGTGGTTGCACATGGCAACTGTCATCTAATTTGAAGTCAGAGCCCGAGTGAAAAATCTAGGAACTTGGTGGGAACTTTAGAAATAAACCACCGCCAAATTAAGAAAATAATAGTAATGATAATGATAATGAAGCCTAAAAAAACAAGAAAGAAGTGTCCTATACTTATACTTCTGTTAAATCAATGTATGAACAGTCTACTGAGTGGGTGTCCGTGTCTATGATGCATCCACACGGTTTAAAGCTGCACCGTGATAACCAAGCTACCAAGAACACCATCATTGGCTCTAAAAGAAAAACAACATGAGACGTTAAACCAGAGATGTTCATCTTTTATGTACAGTCTATGCTTTAGATTTTATTGTTGTAAAACACCTACAACTAGAAAGTGAGCAAAATTGCGATATCAAGTTAGTTATAGACACAGTACACATCTTTAATGATATTTAATAATATCTGGTAATATATTTAGACATAAAGTAACAGATTCAATTCTTAAATGATCTCTTGTTGTTTTCAAAAGTTAAAAATATTCCCCCTTTTCACACTTTTCTATGTCAAATGAATTCCAGAGCTTCTGTGTTTGCATAATAAATATTATAATAAGATGCCTCGGGACATATTTAAGCTGTCCAACTCTATTCATTCTTCAGGAGAAACTTATGGAAACGATTTGTAATTTATTAGGCCTACTTGAAATTCATTTTCTGCAATATCCTATATGACATTGAAAGCTTGACATCAACCCTGCACTATGCAGTTTAGAGACTAAGAATACTTGTGGGGTCTTGCTCTAAGTAAAAAAAAAAGTTTCTTTCAGATAACAGTACCGTGTTAAAAAATAAAACCGCATAAAGGAAATTACGACAATCTTTCCACTGTGTTCCAGTCAGCCACAGTTTGTTTCACGTACTGTAAATAAGACCCCACTGTTCTCTTTACGAAACAAACACAGCAGCTGCCAGGTTTGTCTGAGTGGCCAAAACGAGTTTGAAACACACAACTCACAAAGGCCAGATGTGATCTAACCAAATCCAAACAGCTGCTCACATCGGCCACAAGCAAACCTCGTAACCATACTTGATAAAGCCTCAAGTTAGCAATGCAATAAATCCTGTGCCCGGCAATATAAACACCAGTGACTCCTTTAACTAAAAAGTGAATAAAGCAATTAAGAAAGGGATTCAATGAGGTGAAAATGAGGTGATTGACTATAGAAGCAGATAATAAACAAGGGGTCGACGGAGACAGAAACAAGTTGGCAAGGAGAGAAAAAGGGAGCACAGAGGAGAGATAGTCCCGTAGACATGCAGCTGGATGAATACAAGGCCCCTGTGTCGGCACTCTGTGTACGAGAGAGACTGCGTTCAAAGCATTACTGTAGCACTGAAGCCAGGTCTAGCTGGTATTTCGAGTGCGTTTGCACGCAGCTCCCTTGCACAGACCAAACCATTATCCTAACTGCACTTAACTGCAACTGTGAGGAGATGGGGAGGTGAGAATGCAGGACAAAAAAAAAAGAAAAATAAAAAAGGAAAATTAGACAAAACAGGAGAAGAAGCACAGTGACACTGAGACATGATAACAGTGACTCACTCTTGGAGCAGGCTGTCCGTGATCATCCAGATACGTGGATCCACCTGCAAAAGCAAGTATCCAAGTTGAAATACTGAAAACATCATTTTATATATATGGAGAGATTATATTTTATAACGAAATAAGAAGTAAACTAATCAATAAATAACATGAGGGTAAAAATGACTCATTTATATCAAAAGAGAAAAACACCTGAGCTGTATTGTCTACACGAATGCTTTAGTTCAGCCACATTCTTAAATCTGATATCGGATGTTTCTTTTTTATTAAGGTCATTCCAGAGTATCTCTACATTTTTTGTTATCATCTATTCTCTTCCTAGGCTCGTGCATATACTGAAACTATTCTGGAGTTGAGTTGATCAAAGCGGTCCTATCGCGCGCCTCGATTTTTGTCACTGACTGGTTTCCAGGTTTGCAAACTACTGGCTCTAATTAGTTTTTGCTGATGCCAGCAGACCCAAGGGTTCATGTTTCCCAGCTATGCTGTGAATGTTTGAACTTTCTCCCTTTTATGACTCTGTATGTTTATTTTTGGCCGTTTGGAGTTTTTCAGGCAGTGAAAGACTTCTCAGAAGTCATAGTTGTTGTGTAAAAATTGTAGAAAGGTAATAGTAACAAGGAGAAAAAATTACATGCAATGCCACTAACCCATTGCAGCAAATTTTGATCATCAACTTGTCAACACACTGAAATATCGCTATCATGAACATAAAAAGTACGAAATCAGTGACATCAATCATCACATTTTAGTTTCCACTGATATGTTTTACTGATGCGAACGCCTGTCTTTTAAACCCTTCTTCCTTTAACCACTTCCTCTACCGAAATGCTTCAAAACCCTGCCGCATCTAACCACGTGAGAGCCTGCATCACACGGCGCAGCTCGACCCAACTCTACATCATTCGTCGAAACCACACATGGCTCTTCAGTGTTAAAGGTGAAGGTGTTGTGACGAGAGCTCTAGTCGAAGTAGCTCCATTCGTAGCTGTTTATGGAACAGAATAATGGTGTTCATTGAAGGCTGTTCCTACACTGAGGATCTGTGCCCGTCTTTCGGCCCACGCTCCAAATGCAAGCCCAAGCCTATGGCAGCGACCTTTTCTTTCATCGCCTGTTTAGACACAAAGGCTGCCCATCACATTTACAGCAGTTAGACTGCAAGAAAGAAAGGGAAAAGACAAGCTGGCGAGCGTGCATGGGTGGAGTCTGAGTAAAGTAATAAACTGAGGAAATATTACATAACAGAACAATCTCTCCTTTTGTCTCTGAAATGTGATCCAGAAGAAGAAAGAAATGATGCGTGAACACACACGTTGTTTTATTTCAGGCCAAAGTTTCCCACTTGGCACATGCTTGTAGATGTTACTCTGCTGGAAGTTCATAGCTTTGTAAATACTGTTTACACTTTAGATAGTGGTGTGTAAGCTTTGGGTAATTAGTCTTACACTGACATAAAATCTGCCTGACTGTCTTGCTTTCCCCCCCCCCCCCCCCCCCACACACACACACACACACACACACACACACACACACACACACAGTAGTTACTATATATAAGACTTGCTTGGATTCAGTTTGATGTCGCGGCTCATTAATTCATCGGGCACTGGATGTATAAATACAGCTGCACTCTGCTCACCCTCAGGTGTTTCTTAGTCTCGTTCTATCTTTTCATCCGTCTTTGTAGCGCTTTCGTGGCATTACACAGTTTTCCTGAGGAATGCAGCGGCAAACGCACATTTGCACCTCTACTCCGAGGCATTTCAGGTCACGGCAGGGTGAGGATGCAGAGACGCAGACAGACTCTGTTCCTTCCTCTGTCATCCGTCATAGACAACCACCCCCCCACCTGCCACCACCGCGACCTCCAACCCCTCACTGCCTCCTGTGTGTGCTTCTCATTAGCGTTTTGGATAGAGGATCGGAACTAATTTTTTCCAGGGTACGAGGCTCGCAAAAGCTGACAGCTGCCCTCCGCCCCCACCGCCCACAGAGAGAGGAAAATCAACTTAAAGAGCCACTGTACAAACTGTACTCATTGACCTGATTGTGCTGTGAGCCTATGCCAAATATCAGAGACGACAATGACAGTCTAATGGGACTTGAGTAATAAATATTTTAATTCCCAAACTGACTTTTTATGACTGCCCTGGACATAATTCTTTTCCACTAAATAATCTGATAAGAATGACTTAACACATGTAGCCCAAAACAGCCCATAAAGGAATGTCCTTTAAAAACTAGCGAAAGGAATGCAAGTTAATTGGAAACAATACACAGTGCTGCTGTTATGTCTCTTATGATTTCTCCCATGCTTATAAGGGAATTTGTGGATCAATAGGTTGATTTAAAATCAACAATCCCATCACTAACATGAGGAAAACTCCAGGGCCATAGATTTCAAAGATCAGTGAAGTTGCTCTGACAGCTTTTGTTAGGCTAAAGGCTGAATGTGGGTCCCAATGACACATAGGTCAAGCAAGGTCAAGTAGAGAAACTATTAGGTTAGAGGAAGAGCAAATTTACAAATGTAATCTAAACTAATCTCACATTTGAGCCTATAGTCAGGTTAATGGTTGTATTTTGTGAGTTCGTGTGTGTGTTTGTGTCAATGGCTGATTGACAAGGAAACTAATGGAGTGTGGGTTTGCATTGGTATGTAGCTAAATGGTTAATTGGATTACTGAGTCACAAGATCCATGGACTTGTTGTTAAGAACAGCTGCATTACTATTTCCAACTCCAATTAATCAATACCACATCATGGGCAGCATAAAGCAGCAGTGATTTTAAGTTTTAATCACCGAAAATATGAAACATATTATACTCACAAGTGCAAAGCTAATTTAAAAATGCACAAAACCAATAAAACAACAGAGCCTAAATGGCCTAGAGGGAACTGTGCCATGCGGGGATGCCAGCATTCTGTAAATTACTGTTACATCGTCTCCCAAAGCAGATTTTCAAAAGATTTTGTCCCCAACAAATTTAAAAAAGAAAAAAGTAAGTATCGAACAGCTTCAAGCTGAGATAGTACGCAACAGGATTGATGCAGCAAAGAAAATGTGAAATTCATTAATGCACAAGATGCTGTTTTCTGCACTGATTAGGAAGCCCACAAGAACTAATAAGAGTAATGGAAATGTGTTGAGGGGAATCACAGCCCAGCCTCACAATCTTCAAGAAGTTTAAGAATATTAATGTCTAAAACTCACACCAAAACCAACAACATTCAGTTACATTTTAATGCACACACACACACACACACACACACACACACACCAGGCCAGCAGCTGCCCCTGTTCAGGAACTTCTTAAACCAAGTGACCATGCACATCAATTAATCACCTCATTAGCTGAACTGATTTGTTTTTCTTCAGTGGAAGAAAAAAAAGTCACTTGTTGTTAAATCAAAAAGTTCAGGTATAAAAAAAGAAAAGAAGAAAGGTAAAAGTGCATCCATCTGATGTTTCTATCGTGATTACTTCAAACAACAAAGCTAAGACTGGCTTTATTGTCGCGCCCGCAGCTAAAACAGGCACAAGTATAGACCTCCGTATTCAAATTCCTAAGCAAACAAAATAAAAATCTAAGATGTGGACAGACATTTGGAGGTTAGGTACTACAAAACACACAGGTGGAACGCCAACATAGCTGGAGGAAAAAAGCGTTTGAAGGAAATTTTGGTCTTTAGGATTGTATTCTGTCAACAAAGCCCAGAATCAGTCCTTCAGACTCTGGAATTTTCCGTTGTTGTTGGCCTACTCCAGGAATGCTACAGTAAGTTTGGGAATTTTATAAACATGTATTTAGAGCGTAGACCATTTCATTTGCTTTGCGAAGCTGGCAGCATGGCTAAGTAGAGCTTAGGAAAGAACACGTCCCAGAATAGGCAGAGGTGGGAGTGGGAAACCACACAGGAATGGCTGCTGAGAGCAAGGCCAAAAGGACAGGCACAGGGTTGGAGTTAAGAGTCCTCTAGCTTTGCTGTGGGACGCGACTGAAAGCGCTGATGGAAGGTTACAGAGCTGCTGCCATGGAATGTTCTACAAGTGTGTGAAACCAGATTACAGGTTCCCCATGTTGTGAAGACTAAGCTCTTTCATGTGTAACCACATCCTGCTTGTAGTTTCTCTATACCAGACGGAAACGACTATTAAAGGTGTCGGCGTGCTGAAACTCAAGCAGAGAAAAGAAAACGCAGGACTGTTAGATACAGAGATCACGTGATGTTCCTCAGTCCAGTCAAAAGTGACATAACTCCAGCCTGACCAATCTGTGTAAAAACACACCCAGTTAGATTCCCCACACGTCTATTGTTACAGCCCTCACTAAACACTTGTGTCACTATTGTCTGCACAGGCAAACAAAGTCAGTGTGCAGGAGTTAGATACAGTACAGGCTTTTCTATGTGTGTTTGCTTGTGAAATGAGGGTGTGCGGTCACCCGACCCTTTGATCCGACATGTGGGAGTCGCTCTCCATTAAGACGAGAATCGCGACCCATGTCGCTAATTACAGGAGGAAGCTAAGCTGAGGGTCAGGGTCTCCACCCACTTCGCCCTGCTTCAGCTCAATCCCACAGTCACTTGAGAATCAACAATGATCAGACAAGTTTGTGATATAAATAGAAAGGCAGAGCCACTGCTCTGTTATTCCAGGTGCCCAAAGACCAAACCCTGGTCGGCAGCCTAATTTGTGGACTTGATGCTCCCTTAAAATTTTGGTTGCTGAAATATAGTAAGAACATATACATGGGCATGCAGATGTGCAGGGGATGGGAGCGTTCAGCATGACTGTTGGTATATGATTTGCAGGCACCAGTGGTTGCCACCATGTATATTGTATGACAGGGAAGTACCAGGAAATTGGTGACCCAGCAAAGCAGTGTTGACTTTAGTGGCTGTGCAGCTGGGAATGCCAAGAAAGCCCAAAATAAAACAGATGATTTACAGAACAAGAAGAGGTAAAGCTGAAACATTTCCAGTGATTTATGTTAAACACAGAACAAAGACATCTGACTCAAGAATTAATAATAAAAAA